CCCCCCCCCCCCCCCCCCCGTCCCCGTCCCCGTCCCCGCGGCCTCCTCCCTCCCCCTCCCCAACCAGCAGAAGTGATCCAGTGGCTCAGCGGATCGGCAGATCAGCTCATCTTTCCTAGGAACCCTGGGATGAATTCCTCCCCCCTTCTCCTCCGCGACAACCGCAAATTGTTGATGGAGGCTTCCTCCTCCTCCTCCTCTTCCTCCTCCTCCTCCTCCTCCCTGCAGTTCTTAGCCCTGATAGGATCTAAGATCATTCATTCATTCCTTCAGAAGCAGCAGAGGCCAGGCAAGCAGGAGATTTGGCTAGCGGGATTAAGGGGAAGATCTTCCTTCCTTCCTTCCTTCCTTCCTTCCTTCCTTCCTTCCTTCCTTCCTTCCTTCCTTCCTTCCTTCCTTCTCTCTTCCTCTTCCTCCTCTGCCATTTTCCTCGCTGGAGGGTGCAAAGGTGCTTTAAACCAAAACGCTAGTCTCATGTTTTGCTAAATCCACCTGTCGGGGGTGAACCGGGCTCTGCCGGAGAAGAGCCAAGGATCCATTTTCTCTGGGAAGCCTCAGGAGGCTCACAAACCCACCTTGGGCGCCGGAGTCAAATTGGGAAACCTAGCCAGTAGGTGCTGTTGATCTCCGCTCGTAACTGGCATTTCTCAAGCAATGCTTTTTTTACTCCAAGGCAATGACGTGTTTTATCACCTGCATTTAGTAAACTCTGTGGGTGTAGTTCCGTGTTGTGTGCATTTCAATTTACAGTGCTGGTGTAGAGGCCCTTCTCAAACAGAAGGAGAGGTGTAAAATATATGTATTTTTGTTCAATGCGGAGGTTCTCCTGTTAGATGTTGTCCAGAGACCAGAGAGGGTGCAGAACATAGTTGAAAATTAACCGTGGTGGCAGGATCTGCCTAAAAGGCCTGTGGCTCAGTTCACACATGATCCTAAGCCATTGAGTATCTCCAACCAGTTGCCCTGACTCCATACCAAATTAAAGGACTCCAGGGTTGTAAAAAGGAAGTTAAATAAGTCATGATTTGTAATGGTAGTAAAAGTTTGATTTGAAATAAGCCATAGTTGCCAGAATTTAACTGCTAATAGAGAAAGCACATTACCTGGGCTCACACGTTGCTCTAAGCCAGGGTTGCACAGTCTTGGCCACTTTAAGATGGGTGGACTTCAACTCCCAGAATTCTACAGATCCCAGGGTTACCAGTAACCAGGCTGATCGTGAGGCTGGAGGTTGGTTCATAGGCTTCCAATTCTCTTGATTCTTTTCCTTGGGAGAAATTTGGATCAAGAGTCCCTTGGGTTAGTTCATTCAAGTCACCTCTGGAGACTTCAGGCAGATGCTACTGAACCAATTGGCTTCGGGAGAAGTGAAAAAGAAAGAAAGAAAAGATTTTGCAATGTAGAAGAAAGAGGGAAAGAGAAAGGAAGGAAGGAAGGAAGGAAGGAAGGAAGGAAGGAAGAAAGAAAGAAAGAGAAAGAAAGAGAAAGAAAGGGGAGAGAGAGAAGAAGAGAGAGAAAGAGGGGGAGAGAGAGAGAAAGAGAGAGAGAAAGGAGAGGGGGAGGGGAGAGAGAAAGGAGAGGGGGAGGAGAGAGAAAGGGGGAGAGAGAAAGAGAGGAAGAGAGAGAAAGAAAGGAGAGGGAGCGAGAAAGAGAGGGAGAGAGAGAAGGAGAGAGAGAGGAGAGAGGGGGAGGAGAGAGAGAGAAAGAGAGGGAGAAAGAGGGAGAAAGAGAGAAAGAAAGACAGAACAAGAGAGAGGAAGAGAGAGAGAGGGGGAAAGAGAGAGGAAGAAAGGAGAGAGAGAGAAAGAGAAAGAAAGAAAGGAGAGAGAGAAGAAGAGAGAGAGAAAGAAAGAGAGGGAGAGAGAGAGACTCTGACTATCTTGAAATAGGCCACTTCTGATCTGCGCTGACCATCTTACTGCCTAATCCAGAGGCGGGATAAACAGACTCAACCAAAGGCCTGGAATAGCTTTACTAAGAGACATATCTCATTTTCTCCAAGTTCACACGCTGTGATTCCAGTTATCTTATTATTCCCCCCAGATCTACATTTAAAACCGTGGCGGAGAACCTGTCCTTCTCTAAGAGTTGCACGTGCACAAAGGAACATGCAAGATAAAATATAAAATATAGGTCAAAACATTAAAATAACAACACCACCATAATATGGTGCCGGAGAATGGCAATAGATGGTTATCATTCAGTAGGTTTCAATAATATTAGCAGGTTGACAATGACCAAATGGCTTTGTCTACCTAAGATCAATTGGAATAGAGCCTGAAGGGACCTTGGAGGTCTTTTAGTCCAGCCCCCTACTCAAGCAGAAGACCCTAGACCATCACAGACAAATGGCTATCCAATCTCTTCTTAAAAACTTCCAGTGTTGGAGCATTCACAACTTCCGGAGGCAAGGTGTCCCACTGGTTAATTGTTCTCACAGCTAGAAAATTCCTCCTCAGTTCCAGGTTGCTTCTCTCCTTGATGAGTTTCCATCTATTGTTTCTTGTCCTGCCTTCTGTTGCTTTGGGGAATAAGTTGATCCCCTCTTCTTGGTTGGCAGCCCTTCAAATATTTGAATTCTGCTCTCATCTGTTCTCTAGACTTAGCCAAATCCTGCAACCGTTCTTCTTTGTATGTTTTAGTCTCCAGACCTTTGATCATCTTATAGTTGCTCTTCTCTGCACTTTTCCCCAAAACCTCAACATCTTTTTTGGTCACGTGGTGACCGAAACTGGAAGCAGTATCCCAGGTGTGGTCTTACTTACCCAGCCTTGTTTCTCTAAGAGGCCATAAAAATATTCAGGGGTGCAAGCCAAATGAATGCCCTCTAGTAGCTCGATGTTATAACAACACTATCCACCTCTTTGTTTCTACTTCAGCTTCTTGACCTGAGCATTCTTCTACGCAATACACAATACATTGAAGACAAAGAAACACCATGGGAGGTAAGTGAATGGTAAATTTGACCTTTGGAGTTAATCTTGTCGTGTTATGGGGAAATTAAGGAAGAGGAAGGGGTATTGCAGGGGTCTTCAAACTTGACAGCTTTAAGACTTATGGACTTCAACTCCCAGAATTCCTCCTCCAGTCCTGTTAGCTCAGGAATTCTGGGAGTTGAAGACCACAAGTCTTCAAACTTGCCAAGTTTGAAGACCTTTGGAGTATTGGGTAACATTTACTGCCTGGAATTATTTATAAAAATTAATAAAGGAAGGATTTTAAAAGAAATCTTAGAAAATTAAAGTAAATGTTGTGTAAAGGATTGATGCTTTGAGCAAAATTTGGGAATGCCAAGGCTTTAACCTGAGCAGTAACTTTGTAGTAGTTACACATAGAAGGAGCTGGCAGAAACTGGGGGTGGAGTTAAAAGAGGGGTCAGCCTAGAACCCTTACGTAGTCACAAGCAAACTAAATCCCACACTTCTTGACTTCTGTGGACTCTTATCTAACTCTAAGCAGGCGCACCTAGGCTTTTAGCAATCGATCAGTTTAATTGGACCTTCATGTGTGGACCTTGTCTTTCCACCTGACGGCATACAGGGAGTCCTCAATTTACAACAGTCCATTTAGCGACCGTTCAACACCCTTAACAAAAGTGACCTGTGACCTTTTTTCACACTTATGACCGTTGCAGAATCCCCATGTTCACAATTCAGGCCCTCGGCAACAGATTCCTATTTATGAAGGTTGCAGTGTCATTGTGATCCCCTTTTGTGACATATTCATTTAACAACCGTGTAACTAACTTAATAACTGCAGGGGTTCACTTCACGACCATGGCAAGGAAAAGTCGTAAAACGGGACCAAATTCACTGAAGCGATGTCTCATTTTGAGCTCAGTTATGGTCGTAAGTGGAGGACTATCTGTATGACATATAAAATGTTGGGTTTTTTTGTTTTATCTTAGATAACTGCTCAGGATTTGCTTTGCTTTTCAGTTTGGGAAGAGGGAACCACAGCTCCCCCCAAAATGACTTTTTGCTTTTCATTGCAGAAAGAGTGAACAATTTCCCCCCTCTGCCCCGATTCATCCCCCTGAAGCCATGTTTTTACCAGGATTTCGACGAGGAAATTCCACCCCTTCACAGAACCACGGTCAAGCGTCTTTACTACCTCTGGATGTGTGAGTTCAGCGTCCGTTGGCTTGACGGGAAATAAATAAACCCGGCAAAAGCCGCAGAGAAAAAAAAAGAGAGAATAAACTGCATTGCTCTAACTAAAACTTATATATATAGTTTTATTTTATTTTAATTTTATTTATTTTACTTACTTTATTTTTTATTTACTTTATTTTTTATTTACTTTATTTTACTTTATTTTTTATTTATTTATTTATTTATTTATTACTTATTTTTAAATTTATTTTATTTATTCATTATTTTATTTTATTTTATTTTATTATCTTTACTTTACTTTACTTTATTTTTTATTTTATTTATTTTACTTTATTTTTT